CAGTGCAGGACGTCTTCTTTCTCTTGAAAGCTCTCCTTGAGTCAGGTGTTTGCTCTGCACGCTGCCAAGTGGCCCTCCAGTATGGCTTGCTAGGCTTCCGACTTGCCTAGTGGTGGCCAACCCTCAGAGTACTCAACTTTTTAATTTTTGCCAACATGCCGAGGGAAGTGGCATCTCGTCGTTGTTGAATTCGCCACTCTTTAGCCTATGGTGGCTCTGGGCGTCTCCAGCACTGGCGACTGCCCCCTTTTGTGCAGCTCCCGCTTGACTCGTTGCTTCCCTTTGGTATATACAGCGTCCTGGGGACCAGAAATCTCGAGTTGCCATTTAGTCAGATCCGCCAACCTTTCACTTTATGGTTTGGGCTTTTGGGGTCGTGTTTACAAAGTCTCTGCCCCCCATCCGAGTGACAGATATTCTCCATTAGCTTTCTAGTTTTGCCTTGCACATTTAAGTCTCTGTTAAGCCCATCTTAGACCACGTTATGTATTTTGAGCCAGTTTTCCCAACACCGGCTGTTAAACAGCTCTCATTTCACAGATGAGGAAACTGGGGCCCCTGGGGAGAAAACAACTTGTCTAGAGCCATAGGGAGGGTGGCTGTGGCTGTCTCCTGGGACAGATCTGAGCTACTCGCGCACAGCACATCACTACCCCAATTCGGAAGCTGAGGGACCTGAGCGAGCTGGTTCACTTGGGACTGGGAAGGTTGCGGCTCAGGGCAGGGGCTCTGCGTGGGCCTCTGCTGTCATCTACAGGCCATCTACAGGACTGCAGGTACCAGGACCTCGATCCCACTCAGAGGCATCTCCCAGCCATCCTACTCCTGGCGTCGGAATTTAGGCCTAGTGAGCGCCTTCCCCTCAGCCCCACTGGTTAACACACACACACTCACGGACCCCTGGGCTGCATGTCCAGCCTCATCAGAGAAGTAGCTCTTGGAAAGATGCTCGTCCTCTGAATGAATGAGTGAATGAGTGACTGAAAGGATGCTACAACTTATTCGTGGGTGCCCACTGTGTGCAGATGTTGAGTGGAGACGGGTTTGGGGGCTCTGCCCCTATTTCTTTCAGGCGACCTTCAGGCTAGCAGTATTCAGTGAAGCAGGAGGCTCCAGACAATAGCCTCAGCTGGCCATAGTGAACACTTCTTGTAGACCAGATGCTGGGTAGGTGCTCTCCCTGGAACCCCCTGACCTTACAGAGACTGGAGGAGGTCACACTATCCCTTCTGCCCACACTACAGACACACAGGACAGAAAAGCCCAGAGAGGTTAGGTGACCTGTCTGAGGTCAGCAGCTGTCATGACAGAGCCCCCATTCCAACTCCAAAGCACAACCTCAGGGCTGGGCTCTTATCCTCAAACCATGGCCTCCTCTCCTAGTCTTTTCTGGCTCCTCGCACAGCCACATGTACAAACATACTCTCACACATGTACACATGCAGTCACACCTTTACACATGTGCATACACATGCATATAATATACATGTGTAAATACACATTCATATAACACACATGCACACAGATACACATGCACATGTGCACATACACACGCATTTATGCCCAGCTGGACCCAGGACTGATGTCCCTGAGCCCAACCTAAGAATCTGATTCAAGATCTCAGAGCCTCTTAGAAAGCCCTATGATCTGGAAGCTTCTACTGCTGGGGGCACCGAAGAAGGCTCTGCTCTGTAAAGGCAACTAGTTTGAGCCTGGTGAACCTGAGGCTGAGCAAGATGTCATTCTGGATAAGTAGAAGGCTAGGCAGCTGAGGGTGGAGGCTGGCTCCTTGCCTCAGCCAAAGGCATCTCACTGAATGTTATGTGAAGATGTCTCATTTCTTTAAAATGGAGTTAGAGTATAATTGCTCTAAAAATTTTATAATTGTATTTTTAAGCTTGTCTCTTTTTATTAAAATTTTAAATTGCATAAGTAAAACTTGCTCATTGTCATTAATTCAAATTATACAGAAGTATGAAAAGTAAGCAAAGGTGCTGCTTCTCCCCTCCCAGTCCCTATAACCAGTTTCCACAGGCACACGCATTCATAGGCACACGCATTCCCCACATGGGTCCATCAGAGAGATGACTTGCAACTACTCACTTAGCCCAGGAAAGTCAGAATATGTGGTTTTCCCTTAGTGCTCACGTTCCAGCAACCACCTGCCACATCCCCTCCACTATGATGGGAGGATTTGGCATGTGGGATGGCTAGGCCTGGTCAGGAGTGGGTTCATGGTGGCAGACTCTGCCACATAGCCCTTCTTATAGCTGTGTGTCCAAGGGGACAGAGACTTTGGAATAGCTTAAAGTGAAGGTGGCTAAATCCTACACACACACACACACACACACACACACACACACATTATGTCCTTCCTGGAGAGGGGAGGCTGCACATGATGAAAGGATAGAGGACAAATGAGGGAGACTTTGGGGAAGGCACTGCTGTGTATTCTTGTGACTCATTTTGTGATTGTTCTGGGTAGGGAGGGGCAGGGGAATCTTGCAGTAAGGTCAATCCCTGGAGTGCAGGGGAGGGTATCCTAGAAGAGAGGAATCCATGGAGATTTGGCTAGTGAGGGCATGAGAGGTGGCACCGCTAGGTGGCAGTGTGGGCCCAGCAATCAGAGCCAGGGCTTCTAGGGAGCAGCCAGGGCAGGAGAATTAAGTACTAAGTTGGCCAGAGGGACCCACAATGCCTGAGGCAGGCACTTGGGGCAGAACAGGGGCACATCACTATTCCCAGCATTCAGGTGAGGTGCGCAGTGCTGTCATAGTCACGCATGCACAAAACTAGTTGGAAGGCCAAAACCCTTGGGACCCTTTGGTTTACACATAGACCGCATAATCACTGACCTCTGTAGGAGATGCTTTCAAAGGGACACCCATGGTGCTCTCACATTGACAGGCCTGGGGGCAGAGAAGCTTCACTGAGGACCTTAAAGCTGGATGTCTAGGAGTCAGCAGATCACCAACACCCACAGAGGAAGTAGGAGGAAGTGTGTAGGCTCCTGACTTCAACCATTACTTGCCAGTTGGGAGATCTAGGGTATATTGTAACCTCTCCATGCCTCAGTTTCCACACCTGTAAAGAGGAGACAATATGTGGTAGTTGTGACAATGACATGAGGCTGCAAATTGCTGAGAGTGCTTGGCACATAGTAAGTGTTCAGTTGAATAGTCATGGTGAGGGGTAAGAAGTATAGTTTTGGTAGAGAGCCTGGGATTTGGCCCCATAAGAGACCTAAGTTCAAAACTGTAACTCTGTTGCCTGGCAGCTGCAAAGTCCTTTTGTCTTCATAGTAACGAGACAGTGGACAGTTCCTACTGCCAAGTCAGTGGTCCACATAGGGGCCCCACACCAGGCTATCCAGGTATCCCACCCCTCAAGGTGGGTTATAGGGTATCCATCCCCTCTACCCTCATTCCAAGAAACTGGCTTCTGACCAACTCAGGAGGGGGCTGGCAAAATTGCACTGATGAAGCCTGGCTTCCCTTTAGGAAAGCTGCAGAGAAGTTACTGCCCTGAAGTCTGAAACTTAAACCATTTTTCCCCCAGTTTCATAGGGTTTTGCTTTCAGGTCTCTTGCCTTCTGCCATTCTGGGCAGAGCAAGCTGAGCTCTGTCTTCCCTGGACACTATCGTTCAGGCCCTTCAACACAGCCAGGGGTCTGTCATCCCTGCCCAGGATCTCAAAGCTAGCCTCCTTTCTGAGGACCCTGGGTGCACACACTGGGAGGGGGTGGGGGGTAGGGAGTGGACCTGCGACCTCTCCAAATCCCACAGTTCTTCCGGCCCAAGGATTTGGAGGAGAGTCACACAGACCCCACATAGATGCTCCACAGTGAATCCAGTGAACTGAAACAGGTGGAGAGGGTCCTGGTAGGAGTGTGGGCTTCTGATTCAGAGCTGGGATCAAGCTCTTACCCTGCCATTTCCTAGCGTTTGTTCCCTGGGGCTGTCTTCCGTCTGCATAACGGGAACAACACCAGTTGTAGAGGATCAAATGCAGCAAGTACTCCCTGTAGATAAGAGCGAGTGTTACTACTCTGCCCCACCACCCTGCCCCAACCTCTACTACCCTGCTCCCAGATTATCTCCCAATGTTTTGAGCTGCAGGACTCTCTCTCTCAGCATTTTTTTTTTTGCGGGGGGCGGGGGGCACCAACCCAGAGTCCGGGCCATCTGGGGCTGTCCCTGCTTGCTTCCTTCAATCTGTAGTCTCTTCTCCCCTGACTGGCCGGGCCGGCCAGAATTTGAAAAGTTGGGATGTGCTTTCTCCTTCAACTCTCAAAGAAAACGTTCTTGTCTGGATCTTTCTGGCTGTGGTGACCGCCAGCTTGACCCCAGTGGACTCACTCATTTCTGGAACCGTCCTCTGCACCCCACCCTGCCCTAAGTCCCGCTCCAGACCTCACCCCATGCCACCCAATCCGACACCCGACACACAGAGTCCTAGGGTCCAGGAGCGGCCGTCCCAACACCGGGCGTTTGCCCACGCCGACAGACCTCCTTGGAGGAGTCGCTAGCAGGGAGGACGACGCCGGGACTCCGCCCCCTGCCCTGCCAGGAGTTCCACGGCGAGATAAGAGGGCTGTTCCCCAACGACGCAGAATGCCAGAAGGCAATCTGGGCGCGGGTTGCTGAGCCCGGGCCCCTCCTTAACTTTCCCCACCCGGTCTTTCCCTGCTGATCTCTCCGTCCTACCCTGCTGGGTAGCGTCAGCCCCGGGTCCACGCGCTGCTATTGGCCCTCCCCGACCGCTCGGCTCCACCTTCAGCGTCGCGATTGGTCGGCTCGCAGGGCCCCGCCCCGTTTTCCTGGAAAGTTCTTGGAAATCTGTCAAAGTATTTCCTTTCACTGCCCAGGGCCCCAGACCCGGCCACTGCGCCCGCGCACCCCGCCCGGGCCCCACCGCTCAGCCTGCGGTTCTAGGAAGACGCCGCTTCCGGGAAGGGCTGGGACGCGGCAGACAAAGGATTAGGCAGCAGCTCGCCCCGCCCCGCTCGTCCGGCCCGCCCCACCTTGCCCTCGCAGGCGGTCCGCGCCACTGCCTCTCAGTCCCTGCCCTGCGCCCGCGCGCCCCGGGAGCGTACCCTGCACGCGCTCCGCGCCCACTGGTTCCCTCCCGCCGCCGCCGTCCAGCCAAGTCCCTACTCCGGAGTCGCCGCTGCCGCGGGGACATGGTCCTCTGCGTTCAGGGGTAAGCGCGGCTCTCTGCCCCCGCCTGGCCACCAAGAGGGGCGCACGGGAGAACAGGGGCCATGTGCTAGCTGCCGGGCATTGGGAGGGCTTGACGGGCCAGAGGTGACTGAGCGCGGACAGACCTCGGGAGCGAGGCTCTGTGTGGGGCTCTGACACTCCTACTCCCCACCCCCACACACTCACCCCAATTCCCACTGTGGATTGGGAAACCGGGGGCTGGCTGGCTACAGGAGGAACTTACGGGGTGGGCTCAGCCTGGGTTCTCACTGGAGCAGATGGACACCAACGGCAGGGCGTCCACCAAGATGTGGCCAACAATCCCAGATCTTCTTCTGGGCCCAGAGCACTCTACACTAGCCTGCCGGCTGCCCTGCCTGCTAGTAACCTTGGACCAGCCCCTAGCCCCCTCTGTCCTGGTGTCCCCTCTCCTGCCCCAGGCTAGCAAATAGGCTCTTTTTTCTTTTTTGGGAAGACAGCCCGAGATCCTTGCCTTTCCTCAGGCTGGCACCTGATGGTCAGCAACTCTTGGGAGCAACCCTTTCAACCAAAGGGTCTGATGCTGGCCATGGTGATCTGACAGGAGCTCAGGGAGCTCCAAGGAGAGAAGAAGAAGGTATAAATGGGTGTTCTGCACTCAGGGAGAACTGGGTGGCTGTGCTTATCACAACTGGCCTGGTGCCAAGTGAGGGAGGGTGGAAGGTGAGGCCAGGGAAGAGGACATGAAGGTGCTGGGAAGACTACTTCTCCCTTGCTGTCTCCAGCAAGTTCCTTCCTCCTGTCTGCATTCGGGGACTCCTGAACACCTGCCCCACCACTACCTTCCTCCCCAGGAGCCTCCCCCTGCATTCTGGGGTCCCATAGGCTCTTTCACTTTTTACCCTAGCTAAGCACCCCCTTATAAGCTCAGGGCCAGTGTTGGCTGTCGGGGAACAAAGTTTTTAACAGACTGCTGGGCTCCAAAGCAGGCACACACATGTACCTAGAATACACCAGCCACTGTCCCCACCATGATGACACAGCCATGGACACACCCCTGCCCAGGTACACAGTCACTCACCAGGAGCTTGTGGTGATCAACACAGCTATTCATACACCCAGCTACCACGTCAGCCCCAGAGGTGCCCACACCCACAGGTGGAATCTGTCTGAGAACCGGCTAAGCTATCTGGACATGGCCACCCACAGAGGTTCCAGCCTGACTGGCTAGCCACCAACCGTGCCCCTGGGAAGGTAGCTCTGGGCCCCAGCAGGCAGGTCATCTCAAAATTTGGCCTCCAGTTCTCCAAGAGGGATTTCCGAGCTCCCACAGTACAGCCAGGGTAGGTGTGGAACAGTTTTTAGCAGTCTGTGGTGTGCCAGAGTTGTGTGGCCTTTCTCACTGTGAGTGGTCATAGGGCCATGATTTATTAGAACCTAGAGGGTCACCTATAACCTACACAGGAGTCAGGTCTGGCTCCTGCTACCGGCTCCTGCCTACCCCTCCCTGCCTCACAAGCAATACTGGCGCTGTTTGCCCATGCTGTCCCCTCTGCCTGGGGTACCTTCCCCCAGCTCCTTCCTTTGTCCTGGAAGACTCAGCTCAGGAGCAAGCAGACCCTGACTCCCCCACGACACCTGCAGTTTTATGACTTTGCATTATAATTACTCTTAGTGCCATCTTCCCCAGCCAGTCTGGTTGTCCTTGAGGGCAAGGCCATGGTTTCATTATCTCAGTGTCCTGAGGCCCAGCCGGGGACTAGACCCAGAACTGAGGCTTGGAGATGTATTTTGCAAGGAGTGAGGGAGGAGCAGCAGTCTTCTTGGGGAAGTAGAGCCAGTCCCTGCTGCTTTCCCAAGGAGGAAGCCCTAGTATCACCATGCTGGGTGGGCTTCCCCTAGGAGAAATTCCCTTACTCAGAATTTGGTCGGTTTAGTTCCCTCAACCCCAGCCATCCAAGAATATGGTGTTACTGACCCTCTCAGTGTATGGGTTCGTGGGACCCTTTATTTTGGGAAAGAGAAACTGAAGCCCAGTGAAGAGCAAGCTTTGTACAAGATCATAGAGCCTGATAGGGCTGGCTTGCCAGGGTGGGATCTGGAGTGTGGGCTAGGTCCCTGCTATTTGGTGGAAGCTCATACTGACAGGAGGTGAGACTTGCCAGTGCCTTTAGAGGCCACTGTCCACCCCAGACCCTCCACTGGGAGAAGCAGAGGCCAGGATAGGCTGACTTGTATGGGTAGGGGATTATTTCAGTCTCTATGTCCTGGCTAGTGTGGACCTAGGTCCCTCTGAGAGACACTCCTATCCATGGGGAGGTAGCATGTGACCTCAGGCAGCCTACCATAATCCTGGGAATTCTCTGGAGGATCCCACATAGATCTATTATAGGATAAATCTACCTGTCTATCGTAGATCTATCGCTCAACTAGGACTGTTCATCAGTGGGCCACTTAGTTAGCCCACCTCAGCCAGGAGGGCACAAACATGAAGCTACTTTGCACTGAATCCTATCAGTGTGGCAAGAACATTAGAAATGCCTATAGGGAATGATCTGTGTTTTTGGTTGATGTAAAATAGAGAGCGATTAATTACTGTTTAGTAAATACAGGGCAGTGGAAAAGAATCTTTCAAAAGAGGATCCCCACATGGAAACAAGGGGGCTTTTGTGATGACAAGTGGGGAATGAGATACTAGACTAACTGAGCCCATGGCTGGGTAGAGGGGAAGCTGAGGCTTACAGTGAGATGGGCCAGCCAGAGGTCATGCAACTAGTCTGGGGCATAGGGGGGTCTCTGGAGATGGGAGAAGCATGGGTCCTCCACTCACTGCTCATCCACTGCTTTCTAGACCTCGTCCTTTGCTGGCTGTGGAGCGGACTGGGCAGCGGCCCCTGTGGGCCCAGTCCCTAGAACTGCTCGAGACAGTCATGCAGCCCTTGCCTGCTGGGGCCTTCCTGGAGGAGGTGGCAGAGGGGACCCCAGCCCAGATAGAGAGTGAGCCAAAGGTGTTGGACCCCGAGGAGGATCTGCTGTGCATAGCCAAGACCTTCTCCTACCTTCGGGAGTCTGGTGAGTCTGAGGGGGGAGGCAGGCCTTTTCCTGGGTGGTCTGGTGGAAGAAGCTGAGTTCTGCCATTGAGTCTGGTTTGCGATGCATAGCCCTGCCCAGGAGAGTCTGATGGGAGAGGCACAGCCCTCTCCAGGGAAGTGTGAAGCGAGAGGCACTGCCTTGATTTACCCTGGATTGGTACCCCCAGCTAATTTCCACTATGTCCCTTGTCCCCCTCTGCACTTGCCTAGGCTGGTATTGGGGTTCCATTACGGCCAGCGAGGCCCGGCAACACCTGCAGAAGATGCCAGAGGGCACGTTCCTAGTACGTGACAGCACCCACCCCAGCTACCTGTTCACGCTGTCAGTGAAAACTGCTCGTGGCCCCACCAATGTGCGCATTGAGTATGCTGACTCCAGCTTCCGTCTGGACTCCAACTGCTTGTCCAGGCCACGCATCCTGGCCTTTCCGGATGTGGTCAGCCTTGTGCAGCACTACGTGGCCTCCTGCGCTGCTGACACCCGAAGCGACAGCCCCGATCCTGCTCCCACCCCGGCCCTGCCTATGCCTAAGGAAGATGCGCCTAATGATCCAGCACTGCCTGCTCCTCCACCAGCCACTGCTGTACACCTAAAATTGGTGCAGCCCTTTGTACGCAGAAGCAGTGCCCGCAGCCTGCAACACTTGTGCCGCCTTGTCATCAACCGTCTGGTGACCGACGTGGACTGCCTGCCACTGCCCCGGCGCATGGCCGACTACCTCCGACAGTACCCCTTCCAGCTCTGACTGGGCCGGGCACCCTGCCCAGCCTCACCCAGTCACACCCTGGAGGGGACATCAGCCCCAGCTGGACTTGGGCTCCCACTGTCCCTCCTCCAGGCATCCTGGTGCCTGCATACCTCTGGCAGCTGGCCCAGGAAGAGCCAGCAAGAACAAAGCATGGGAGAGGGGAGGTGTCACACAACCTGGAGGTAAATGCCCCCAGGCCCCATGTGGCTTCATTACACTGAGCCATGTGTCAGAGGATGGGGAGACAGGCAGGACCTTGTCTCACCTGTGGGCTGAGCCCAGACCTCCACTTGCTTGCCTGCCCTGGCCACCTGAACTGTATGGGCACTCTCAGACCTGGTTTTTCAATCCCCAGGGTCGGGTAGGACTCCTACTGGCAGCCAGCCTCCATTTCTGGGAGGATGACAGGCAGAGGAACTGAGGTCAACCATGACTAGTGACCCCTTGTTGAGGGGTAAGCCAGGCTAGGGGACTGCACAATTATATACTATTTATTTATTTATTCTCCTTGGGGTTGGTGTCAGGGGTGAACCAAGCCCACCTCTATGCCCTGAGCCCTGGTAGTCCAGAGACCCTAACTCTGCCCTGGCTTCTCTGGTTCTTCCCTGAGACATGTTGCTGGAACCAAGGCAATCCTGGATGTCCTGGCACTGACCCACCTGTCTGTGAATGTGTTCACTCTCTTCTGCCCCCAGCCATACTTGGGGAGGATGGACAACTACAATAGATAAGAAAATGCAGCCAGAGCCTCAGTCCCCAGCAGAGCCTGTGTCTCACCCCCTCACAGGACAGAGCTGTGTCTGCATAGAGCTGGTCTCACTGTGGCACAGGCCCTGGGGAAATGCCTGTGCTGTCAGGAAGAGGGGGTGCTGGTTTGAGGGCCGCCGCTGCAGTTCTGCTGGGTCTGCTTCCTGCCCAGGAAGGTGCCTGCACATGAGAGAAGGAGAGAAATACACATCTGATAAGACTTCATGAAATAATAATTATAACAAAGAACAGCTTGGTGGTCTTTTCTTTTCCACTGATATTTCTGTAATGACATTATACCTTTATTACCTCTTTATTTTATTACCTCTATAATAAAATGATACCTTTCATGTATGGAGCCTTCAATGGGGCCACTTTTGAGTTGTGTACACAATGTGTCCCCTTTGATCTTGTTATCATTAGCCCTCATTTGATATCTGGGCTAGTGGAGAGGCCCGGAAACCCTATGTGGCTGAGCAGTCCCTGCTGGGGACTCACTGAGGAGTGGAAGAGACAGGGAGCAGCCTCTTCTGTCGTCTCCCCTGGGTCCCCTTGGGAAATGGGAGCTAGGAGACGAAGGCCAGTTAGACTGCCTGCAGAGTGATTGTCCTGGCCACTACCAGGCGGGGGCTGGGGGGAGGTTGGCAGAGGGGCACCAGCCCTGAGAGATGTGTAAACAAGAAATGCCAACTCCAAATCACAAGTGGAGAATATCCAGGGGGAGAGAGCTGTGGACCACTCCTGGGTCAGTGTCTTGAGATGAGGAAGCCAGTAGTCAGATTAGGGCTGGTTCTCCCGGAAGAAGGTACAGTGAGTGCAAAGGCACCGAGGCATGACTGGGAGGCCCGTGTTCCTGACACAGAGACCTGAGGAGGGCTTGCTCTGCAGTGGGGCAGGGCAACTGAATCGGGGTAGGGGCCAGTGAGCTGGCGGAGTCTGGCCTGGGGCGGGGGTGTCTGGATTCTGGTCCACACTGGTTGGAATTGGGGCATCCTTTCTTCTCTCTCAGGGTTCAGCACACCAGAAGTGTGTGGAAGAGCAATTACAATGAAAACACCCTCCTTTACCAGACAGTCTGACTTTGGAACACTATCTGTTGCAATCTCCCTATGTCCTGAAGTTTTCTGCACCTTTGCTTGAGGGCCCCACAGGAAAGCTTCTCTAAAGCTTTCTAACCTTTATTCTGGAAACAATCCTAACCTTCCTGTCGTCTCAGCCCTCAAGCAATTAGAAGTCTTAGAGTAGAAGAGACACTTGTTGGCAAGTTGAGAGCAAGAAGGGGTGAGGAGTGACAGGCTGATGACAGGGAGGGGTGAGGACGAGGATAGACAGCAAGAACCATGGAGTTCACACAGGACCCTGGGGACATGGAGGCTGTCATGGCAAAGAACAGGCCTGACGTTTGGTGAGAGTGGGCAAGAGGTGGGTGATGGAGGGAGGGCTGTCTTTCCTGGATGTGGCGCCCAGACCCAGGTGGCCAGCCACGTGCCTTCCCTGTTGCTGGCGGCGGCCTGGGCACTTGGCTGTCTGTAGGGCCAGATGGCACACTTCCTTCAGGTCACCATGACCCAGCCAGGGGTATTTGCAGTTCCTCATTCCTTCAGTCTGAATTTCAGCTGCTTCATTGCTTCCAGAATACCTGAGGTAACCCCTCTGTCTGCTTCACCCCAGATTTGTCACCTAGTGGACGGGTAGTGGACACAGAGGGGCCAGTGTCAAGCTCTTCCTCACCTGGTGCTGCAGCCTGGACAGAAAGCTGCTGTGGTGGAAGCACAGAAAACTGCTTTGTCCACAGAGAGAAAAGCCTCAAGGTGCCTGCCAGGTGCTGGGCATGGGCCGAGGGCTTACACCTCATACAGCACTCACCACAACTGTGGGAGTCAAGTCCAAATATTACCCACGCTCCACAGATGAGGAAACCGAGGCACACAGCGGGGAAGGGGCTGACCAAGGCCACTCAGCAAGTGGGGCTCAGAGCAGAGCCAACCCTGGGGGGTTCTGACTGACCTTTTGTCCTCTGGATTACTACATGAGATAGGGAGAACAGGCATGGCGGCTTCCAGGCAAGTTGCTCTTGGATGCTGTTTTCTATCTCCTGGTCTCCCTGCCTGCTGAGAGCTCTTGGCCACTGGCCTGGCCACCAAGGTCCTGTTCTCTTCACCCTGGCCTCAGCTCAAGCCAGGGCCCAGCTCCTATCTGGGGAGGGGCTGCCAGCTACTTCTGACTCCCAACATGTTCCAGGTTCCATCTTTTCTTGTTTCTCTACCAGGGTAGCGAATGATGCCTGCCCAGACCCCAATCAGAGATTCAGCCTAACAGATACTGAAGATCCGCTGGCCAACATGATCACCACTGGGTGGTCCTGGCCTAGGAAAAGGGGCACACATGTTGACACTAGCCAGGAACAAAGGGATGAGCTTTCTGGTGGGTGCAAGGACCCTGCACAACATACAAACAGTAACGAAGGTCACACTTTACCGTTAAGTCCTCCAGCAGCACACGTGCTCCAAAGGCACCAACTGGGCCAGACTCCATCTAGGTCCTGGGGACAGCAGGGAACAAGACAGACACGGTCCCCACCCTCATGGGCTAGTGGGAGAGACAGAGAGTGAACTAGTGAACAAATGGGTGCACAGGACAAGCTTTGAGAGTGTAAAGACAGAAAAGCAGGGGGGTGTGGGGAGAGTAACTTTGGGTACAGGGACACCCTACAGCTGGGAGGGCGTTGGGGATAGCTCTGCAACTTCGGGTGGCACTGAGCCTGGAGACCCAAGCAAAGAGCAGGAGCTGGTCATGCAGACAACGTGCAGAAGAGATGTCCCAGGTGAAAGGAACCACAAGTGCAGTGGCCCTGAGGCAGAAACCTAGAGCCCAGAATGGCTGCCCAGAAGGGGCGGGAAGGGCAAAGGAAGCAGGTGGATTTTATTTGAGGATGGCGAAGCACCTCTTCAGAGCCTAGCAGGAGAGTGCTGTGATCTGAACCTCATTTCTAAGGGAGGTATCTGTACTCATGAGGGCCTGGAGGCAGGAGGCCAGAAAGAAGGATCTGGAGGGTAGAGTGTGGGAGCAGGGGCAGGAAGAGGTGAGGGCAGCAATTCTGTGACTCTGGATGGGGTTCCTGCTCCACTAGCAGAGGCTGTCCTCATCTACAGCTGGAGAGGGAAGGCTCAGAGAGGGATAGTGAGAGGCAGAGCCAGAGTTCACATCCTGATTCCAGACCTTGTTTATGTAACCACTGCTCTATTCTGCCTCCAAGGGGCTGGCTTGCTAAAGCCTAGGCACCCACAGGTTCAGAAGGCATGCAGAAGGGTGGGGAGATTCAGGAGGGCTTTCTAGAAGAGTTGGTCTAGGGGCTGGGCCCTAGAGGATTCTGTCTCCAGGTGGGAAATGGGTTTGGAGATTGATTCTGTGTGGTGTCCCTCCCTGGATTCACAAGCCTCCCTCTGGAATGACCTTGGGACAGAGATGCTACTAAGCCATCCAGGTATTTCTTGTTGCCCCCAAGGAGTATTTGCTGGATACCAGCCCCCTTTAAGCCACGCCACTGGGGTATCATTGGTACCAGTGTATACATCTCACTAGGTCCCTGCACCTACACCTTTTAATCTACTGGACTTTTAATCTACTGACTGAGCAAATCTCTCCTGGCCAAGTCTGAACACACATCTGAGTGGGGCTGGGGGCCATGACTAGGCCCACCTCACTCTCAGATGGGGACCCTTCCATCCTGCACGGTTGCCCACAGTGAAGTGGAAGGTGAGGGGCCGGGGGCCTAAAGGCCTAGAGGCCTGACTATGAAGGCAGGAAGACTCAAGGTCTGTGCACAGGACATCCCCGACTTCCTGGGCTCTCATAAAGGCCCTCTTCCTCCAGGAGAAGTAGGCCCTGTGCAAGCCTGGGCAGCCTTTGACACCAACCTGCTAGACCAGTTTTAATATAAAGTAGGCTTGAGCTTTGCCAGAAATTCAACAGCCTCTCATGGTGGATGCGTCCTCCCTACCCCTCCCTGGCTCACGTGGAACACCCAAGGGGTCACTCCAAGAGTCACTCTGGGGCAGCAGGCTGGAGTTCCCACATCTGAGACTCAAGCTAGAGGAGGTCCCTGGAGGTTTAATTTTGGTCAGAATGCAGACCTCAGAGTGGTTGGAGAGTGGCTAGGCCTCGATGCTGGAGAATGGAGAGTGAATGGAAACTGATGCTCTGAGCAGGAGGAGACACAGCAGGCCCAGGGCAGGGGAGCTTTTGTGATGTGGTCAAAGCTTCCTGCTCAGTGGAAAGACAGTTGCTTCCATGACCCGGGCCTCATTAAAGCAGGCAGGGCCTCTGAGGGCTACAGGAACCTAGGACTGCCATGACTCCTGCAGGCAGCCCTCCAGGACTGTCTCACCCACACAGACCCTACTAGTGAGATGCTTGTGCTGGCACCGATGATGCCCTGATGGCATGCTTGGTGGGAGGGTGGTATCTGGCAAATGCTCCTCAGGGCAGAGTCCTGCTCCAGGGACTCTCCCCACACCCAGCACCCATGAGCCAGATGGAGCCCTTCCTGTCACCAGAGCTGGGCTCCTCCACCTGAGGTGGGGGTTGCACTCATAGTCCAGACTGGGCAAAAACTCTGTTCTTCAAAGTACCTCCCAACCCTCAGCCTCCTCCCAGGAAGCACTTCACTGCTCCCACCCCTACCAGCCTCATGTCAGCGACATCACATGTGTGTGTGTGTGTATGTGCGCACGCGCGCGTGCGTGCGTGTGCTGACCTTTCCACTTGGCCAACATGCCTTTGTTTTTCTCAGCTCCTTCAAGTGGATGGCTGTGGGAGGAGAAGCTACTAGGAGAGTAGGTTCTCAGGAAACATTTCCCCCAAAGCCCCAGAGACACGGAGCCCACGAGACATGAGAAAATGAGGCTTAACCAGAAGGAGAGGTGTTCCAAGGGCAGTTCGAGGGGTGTGGGTGAGAGACAAGGAGAGACCCCTGGCAGAGATCACTGTTAACCCTGGTGTGTGAGTGCCTGCAGGGGCATGCTCCCGGGCATCCTTGCCAGATCAGCACCATCAGCCTGGCACCTAGTGGGCAGGCTGAGCTTATAAGGGCAGCCAAAGCTGGGTGGCCCTAGGCAAGTTGCTGCATCTTGCCGGGACATATATGGCTCAGAGTAGGCCAGGGTCCTGGGTTTGCTGTTGTGGGATCAGTTCACTCTCTCCCCTGCCCAGAGGCGCCTGGTTGGGAGCTGTGGACTTTGGGGGCAGGAGCAGCCCCTCCCAGCACCTTGACAATCACCCCCTTTCTCTTCTGAGTCTCAGTGAGTAACTGGGGTGGAAGCTAGCTTCCAGAGGATCCCTGGGCCTTGCGGAGGGCAGAGAAGGCCTGGCGTGGGCACCCCCCACCCCC